CCTAATAGAAGAATAAAATTGGGAAAGGAGTTTCCATTAGAGTAAAGAATAAAAAGATGATAACTTGTAGGATTTTAGTACTTACTCCCAATCTCCCATGCTAAACCTCCTTAATTTTTCATCAACCAGGAAAAGTAAAGAGAGATATAGCCTCTCCAGGATGCAAGAAATTATGTAGAAGATGGATATGTATTTAGTGCTTAGATTAAATGCATAATATCTAGGTTGGTTATGTTGCAATTGTATTGGCAAAGTATATCCTTTTTTATACCATCAATCATTTGAAGCTATACGTGTTCTTTGTCTGCTGCAGGTGAAGTAAATATGTTATTTTCAGGTGTTGTGATGTTTCCTCAAAAGGTACCAAAACTGTCTAAAAATGAAATAGTAGTAAAGCTTGTGGATTCATTTTCAAACCCAGTCCTGTCACAACAATCAAGGTTGAAACTGGAGATTAATTCAATTAATAGTTCTGGATTTTCAACTTGGGACGTTGTGGATTATGAGGATGGTTCATACGGCTGCTATTATATGGCTCAAGATGTTGGCACTTACGAGATCTGTGTTTCCTATGATGACAAGCGTTTCCCTCAATGCCCTTTCAATGTCAATGTTTACAGTAGTAAGTATAAATAGCATGCTTTGGCTTTTGCTTATAGTTTGAAAGCGCACATGCGCCCATGATAAGATTAGTGTTGGATCTTTTAATGCGGACGGGATTTTTGGTTCCTCTATCATGTCAAGTTCTCTCTGTTTCTTTCCTTGTCCTTATAATATTGAAACTTGAACTTCTCGTTGGTTCTTGCCACATTGTTCTGAACTGGAGGAATAGTTACATTTTCTAGTAGATACTACTTTTAGTCCTAAATATAAGATCTCATTTGGTATTTCTGGTTATTTAACTCATTTTGAGATGTTTGGTAACAAATTATGTGTTTTAAACTTGATCATTTGTATATTCAAACAATGAACTTCAAATTTTTAATTTCACTGTGCTATTAAGATTAATAAATTCTGAAGATACTCTTCTGAATTAATTTCAGGTGAATATTTTCCCAAAGCCAACAATGATACAGCATCTCTTTGGGAGGATGAGTCAAGTGTGATTGATGTCTTAGCAAATGATTATTTTGCTGGTGATAATGCAAGTATCGTTGATCTCTCAAAAGTAAGATTAATTACTTACTATAATTAATTCTAAAACACTGATTATCATTTACCTTCTGAGAGGTGATGCAAAGCAGATGAGAAGTTTTTCATATCTCCCGAGCTTAATTATCCTCAATGGTCGATACTCTATCAATTCCGTGCAGAATGAATAATTTACCTGTAACATGCTTACTGAGCAAAATTTCCAACATTTTTAACTTATGATGCTACATAAAATTTTTTAAAATGAGCCAACTGTACTGGTTTTTCATAACGTATGCAACACAATATTGAGATATGTTCGTAATGTATGTAACACTATTAATTTGTTAATAATCTCAATTGATTTTTCTTTTTCTAATATGTGGTGTTTTATCAGCCAGATCATGGTTCACTTATACAGAATGGTGGGATTTTTCGTTATACTCCTTATGAACATTACTATGGAAATGATTATTTTTGGTACACTATATCTGATATAAACGGAAATATAGCTACTGCTTCTGTGTATATATCTGTTCTCAGTGTCCCACCTCAGTTTGCTTCTGTTCCAAGTCAACTGCAGGCAACAGAAGATCTGATTAGTCCTAGATTTGGGTAATTACAGCCTAGTACACTATATTAATTAATAATTCTAAGTTTTTAATCTTCTTTCTTATATATATTCTTGTGGCTTCTTGCAGTGGTTTCACTGGGTTTGAGATAACTTATTCAGATTTAACGGAAAACATTTCTGTCAACTTAAGTGTACGATCCGGAAGTATACTTCTGTCTCCTATGGTAATGCAATTTGGGCAACCAATGTGGAGAGAACTTACCATTAATACAGGAAACGAAACAGCCAACAATTTAGTGTTGGAAGGTTCTGTGGAAATAATCAACTTAGCTCTCCAGTCAATCCAGTATCTGGGGTAATATCCTTTTAGTTGTTTGTCTAAAGTTAATTTGTTTGCCATTTCTTTTTCATTTTCCCATGGCACCCATGATATCTTTAAATGTACAGGCCATATGTTAAAATGAAGACAAACTGCATTCAGTTTCGGATATTCTTTGAATTTTATATTTTATCTGCTTCTGATTTTTGAAACTTTTGTTCACAAAGGCGACTTCTGCGTTTAATGTCATTCCTAAGGTTACCTGTTTGTTGAACGGAGTAACTTCCAGTTTTTATATATGTAGATGATTTCTAGGAATTTATATGCCATAGATTGGTTAGATCATGCCTTTTGGTGTTTGGTTTCACAAAAAATATTTAACTTGGTTTTTCTAATATTTACCTTCAGAAATGAGAATTTTTGTGGCAAGGATGCCATTCGAGTGTCTACCAAGAACAAGTATGGAATGAATGCCTTGGACGTTCCAATTTTTGTGGATCCTATCAATGACCCACCATTTATTAGAGTCCCTTACTTTATCATATTGAAGGGTGACAAAGACGAGTCCCTCATCTTTGACAGAGACTCAGACAACTTTGACTTTTTCATTGGAGATCCTGATCTTCTTACCTTCCCTGGTAGGTTGAAGATATGTGTCTTGGATTGATATTTTGCAGCTTCTTCACGAGCTAAGATTGCACAGAACAGATTTAGTTATATGAAACAGATGAATAATCCATTTATGGACAAGCGAAATAGAAGTCAATCAGTACAAAATATAACATGATTAGATAATAACTTTGTTCTTGGGAGTTGACAGTGCTTGCACAGTGAATTTGGAGGCTTGCGTTCTGCTGATGATGGGTGATATTTCAGGGGAAAAGGCTCAATTTCTGGTGACTTTCTCTATGGAAGTAAACGATGGAATATTAATAACAACTCTTCCTTCTTATTTGGTCAACACAACTGAACTGAAGACGGGAGATAGTAACCAATGGCAGCCTCTTCTTACATATGTCACTATCTCAAAGCATTTCATGGTCAGAGCCAATGGAATCAGATTTCAGGGAACAGTCAACGACTGCAACACAGTTATGCAGCAACTTTTCTATCATGTATGCAATCTTCCTATCCTTGAAGCTATTTCGCTTTAATTATGAACATGGGACTATCTTTGAAATATTAGTCCTATAGCCTACACATATAATGTTTGGAACTCGGAAGCATGCGATCAAGTTCTATTCTTCACATTTTAGAAGCATCATTGCTTTATCATCTCTTCCCTCTACGAATACTGGAATGAATACCAAACAAAACGCCACAGTAAACCTTTTTTTGTTTATATCTGCACAGGGAGGAGAGCATGGAGCTGCTTTAACATTGAAATTAAATGATATGGGAAATTATGGATGTTATCCTGATTGTTCTGAAGGGATGTCATTGCCCTTATATGCTGAGGCTATGGTCAACTTGATGAGAGGACGACCCATGACTCCATTCCTTGCTCACAGTAAGTAACGGTTTTTCTTATTTTTATTTCACCTTTTTTGCCCTTGTTTTTAAACATTGGGTAATAACAAGCAACGCATTTTATATGTTGAGTTAGGTGGGATCATCCAACTTCATAGAAGTTGAGCAAAGCGCTGTCGTTTTACCATTGTTAGCTTTCTGTGCTATAATGGCATGCCATTTTATTACCTTTGCTGTCCAAACTTGATTTTGAGCTTTGAACTAGTTATTACAGTCTCAACTGGAAACATGGCTATTTCTCATGCATGTTTTGCAGGTTTAGTTAGTTTTCAATTCATGGATCTCACTTGATTAGAATATTTTGTTTTCTCAAGCATTAGAGCAACCACAATTTATGAATAAAGAATGAGAAAACTTTACCGATATATTGTAAATGTGTTTACAGTCTTGGGATCAGCCATCGTCATGGAGTTTGTTATAATCTTTTCTCTTGGGGTGTCGCTTCTATACTTCACTTGCAAATGTGCAGTTCTTCTGGTAAATGAAAGAAGAAACAGAGGAGAAAGACCTCCTGAGGTATCTGCTGCGCAAGGATCGCAGAAGCAAACAGTAAGTATGCATGCTGCAAAACAGTTATAACACCATTGTCTATTGCTCAAGAAAACATTGGATGTTCTTAAATGGCTCAAACATATCCTCCTCCTACATACAATGGCATTACTTCATGTTCATGACTCATTCATTTTCGTTTTTGTTTTCTTGGAAATGAAATGCAGTCAAGCGCTGAAATTTCTGAGAATGTTACTCACTTCACTGGTTGCTGTTCAAGTCCTTCGCTGCTTGGTTTTGGCAGGCGATCCTCCAGTGTTCGCCAACGGTCAGTAGTTTGATTGAGAAAATGTTTGGTTTCACAGATTCAGCAATAAGTGACAGGTTAAAGTTGCAGGTCGCGTCGTGCATCTGAAATTGGAGAGTCAAGTATGGCAGCGAATCGGCCATCTCCTTCAACAAGCCAACCCCAACAGAATGCCCTTGTGCCTAGTTTTACTCCGCTCGCCATTGACAAAGATCAGACCTCAGTTGTCTGAACTCTGAACTGGACTGCAAACCATTTGTTTCGTTCCTATGAGGGAGGGACTAGGATCATACAAAATCCTTTCTTGCTTTTTCTAGTTTTTGCATTTTTGGTCAAGGATGAAAGCATAGAGACACGCAAGTTATTGAAACTCCCTGAATATGTAAAATTTATTACTTTGGATCCGGGCGCCATCTCTTTTAACATACTGTATATAATGGGTATTAGTACTTTGAACCTGGGTTTTGTCGCTTAATTATGCAATGTTTTTTTAGTGATATAATTTTTTTCCCCCTTTTCAAAAGCATTTCATGACAAAAACATGATTTTGTAACTATATCAGGTAGCCAGACGAGCAATAAAAAATTCTTTTGTATATACGTACATTCATGCACATTTCTATTTTGTGAAGGAACTCAAAACGACATGTCGCTTGTAATGATCCATAACGGCGGCCCCGTCCCCGTCCCCGTCCCCGTCCCCGTCGTCTCCTACAGGATACGATCAGCGCAGCCAAAACTGAAATTCCTGAAGGCAAAAGCTTCAGAACAGCAGGTCCAGTTCAGAGCGATGGCAACGACAGCTTACCAGAAGCTGCTGCAAGTTGGCACTAAGATCGTCGCTGTTGGTAGAAACTACGCTGCTCACGCTAAGGAACTCGGCAACGCCGTTCCCAAGGTATCTCGCCCTCCGTTTTCCGTTTGGTTCCTCGGTAAATTCCTGGAACTGGACGCAGTCCCTCCAACTTTTGACCTTCGATCTTCATGTTTTAGACTGTTAATTTCTCTCGATATTCAATCATTCGGTTGTGACTCTTCGCATTTAGAGCTAAATGGCTGGGGCTACTCTGTCAGAAATCTAAGTCCTAATGTTTTTTCAGGAGCCCGTCTTGTTTCTGAAACCAACGTCGTCCTACTTGGAAAATGGAGGAACAATCGAAGTCCCACACAACGTGGATTCTCTGCATCATGAGGTCGAGTTGGCGGTGGTGATCGGGAAGAAGGCTCGTGATGTACCCGAGTCTTCTGCTATGGATTATGTCGGAGGTAATGCTCTTTGGCCCGTGAAATGCCACTTACATTCTTATAACCTTCGGTGTTGGTGTTTTAGAGAGAATTCTGAGGTCATCACTTGTGATCGGGTTCTTTGTCATCAAAGACATCCCTGATGAAAAGGGGAATGGGATTGTTAGTGTTATTCTACACGGCCATGTATGCTTGTTCTTTATCTGTTTGCTATTATATAACAAATCAAATTACATTTTGGTGTATCAGGTTATGCCCTCGCACTAGATATGACAGCGAGGGACCTCCAAGATGTAGCAAAGGTGAGTTTTTTCTTTCTTTCTTTCTTGTTGGGTTTAAATAAAAGTTGTAGATAATGAACTGAGTGGATACCAATTACTTTTTCCAATGTATGAGCATGAGAGAGAGAGAGAGAGAGAGATTGGTTATAAGCCCATCTCATTGAAGCTTGAAGTGAATATCAATATGAAAGAATGTTGATTAAGACATCTTGTGGAATTTATCACGCAATAAATTGTTCGTTTGAGTTCTGCAACTTTACAAATCAGTCTTAACATTGATGAATTTTACCCTATTATTTATCAACGAACAAATATAGTTTTCTAGTCTATGATTTTGCGTGACTTTCTTTCTAATTGGTGACATGGTGAGGTTGATGGAGGAAATCATTGTACCAAGCTTGTATTTAAGCCAAGAAGATTGCATTGGACAATGGGAAATTTTTCTATCCATCTTATCCTCTTTTCCCTTTTGCACCCCAAATGTATACATATTCACTTGGCTAGATGCAAAATCTGTTGTTATCTTTATCACCATATAAGATTTACTGAAATATGAAAGTTTGTTGTTCTTTTTATTTAATTATTTATGTGGTTTCTTTTTCTTTTGGCAATTTGTTAGTCTGCAGGTCTTCCATGGAGTTTGGCTAAAGGGCAGGATACTTTCACACCAATTAGTTCTGTTGTAAGAAATAGTATCCTTTTAATGCTTCTTTTATGCCAAAAAGCAGGCAAATAGCAAAAGTTAGTTCGCTTTAGAAGTTTGAGAGTAGGCAGCTTCAAATCTGACAATACGAGATTCAGCCATAAATGGCCTTTATAGTTTAATATACACCTGCACGTGACTTGAGAGTAGCAGATCACTTGTAATGGAGGCTTCCGTGAAAGAAGTAGAATAACTTGCATGCAAGTATTCCATTTAGTTATACACAGCCAATTTCTAGGGGAATCAAAGTAAACTAAAATGCTTCTAATACCCATAGACCTTTTATCTTAGCTCATCTACTTGTATATTTAAGCCATATTCTTAAAGCATATCACTGCCCCTCTGATTTGACATATGTTGTATGCAGTTGCCCAAGACTGCAGTGCCAGACCCCCATGATATAGAATTATGGTTAAAGGTTTGAGCTATTTATAATTTATCCGCTCATATTGCTGAATTCTGATCCTTTTACTGTGCAATGGTTACATGACGCATTGGCAACTTCGAAGTGACTGCAGAAAAATGGTTGCTGCAGGTAGATGATGAAATACGGCAGAAAGGCTCAACCAAGGACATGATTTTTAAGATACCATTTCTAATTAGCCACATAAGCTCCATCTTTACCCTCTTTGAAGGAGATGTGATACTTACGGGTACTTCATCTGCCATAGTAATTTTGTGCGATGCATTAGATTATGAAACAGAACAGTGTCTTGAATAGTTTTATAACCCTTGAGGCCATCGGTCGCTTTGTTATGGCCTTGTGGGCGCACCATTGGCCAAATCTTTGAAACCTTAGCTTCGTTAACATAGTTTTGGTCATTTTGCAGGCACTCCCCCCGGTGTTGGTCCTGTGAAGCCAGGTCAGAAGATCACTGCAGGCATTACAGGCCTTTTGGACACAAACTTCAATGTTGAGAAAAGAAAAGGGCCTGGTAATCCTTGATCTGGGGTCATCATTATTCATTAACCCCTTGTGGTTTTGTTTTAGGCTTAGCGCAGCAGGAGTTCTGGTGCTTAGAATAAGAAAAAGAATAGAAAAGCAACCTACAAACTCTTGCATTATTAGGAATTTGTAAGGCAATAAGCCACTTGTCAGTTTGTGTTCTGTTTGGGGATATTGAATCAGTGCAATCAATCGAAGTGGCACTGTTGTTTCCAGTCCAACTTATTTGCATATCTTTCTCTACAAACCGTCTACAGATTAAATTGATGAAAAACTTCTTTTTAGATTTAAATGTAAAATTAAAATATCATTCTGTGTTATTTACACAAAAGAAGGATAAATACACACTCAGATTGTCAGGTATTTGTGAGTGTTTGGATTAGCGTTTTTTACGGTGTTTGAGGTAAATATATAAGAAGAGCTTTGTTTCAATTTGTGGAAAAATATATTTTTTTAATTGTTTCTGGTGTTTTGCCAACGCCCTCTATTTGTCATAAAGCACTTCGTATGATAATGGCAATGACAACTCCTTGAACAGGGAATCCAAGTTGGCCCTCGATACAGGTGTTTCACGAATGATACTCAAAAAGTATTTTTCAAAATCACTTTTCCACAATAACAACAACAAGCCTTATCTAACTAAGTGGGGTTAGCTACATAAATCATATGATGTTACCGTGTTCTGTCAACAATCCAGTCCTTAGATATGTCGTTTGACTAGGAGGTCTCGTTAAAATCATTTTTTTACAAAATGAGACAAATTTCTCCATATATTTATTTCGTATATCGTAAAAACACTTTTAAAACTATAGTTTAGTTTCTATCTAAACACCATCTACTATGATAGCAAATCATGCTTTATAATGTACCAGCGTCAATATTGGTTTAGGCCTTCAGGTTAAGGAATTTACTGAATCAAGAAGTACTAGTATGATTTAGTGGGTATTGGTCAAATAAAAAGAACACTATTATCAAAGTTCCTTCGAACTAGCTGGGAATATACGATATCCGTGGAAGAAAAATGTGTTCACGCTCCAACCCACTTCGACGCTGATATATAATCCCTGCTTCTACACGGTGTTGGCTCCATGAAGGCTTCGTACTGTCGATTTGAACTGGTCAAAACGCGTTGCAATTCTATAACATCCCCCCCCCCCCCCAAAAAAAAAGAGATCATCCCCCCGGGGGCCTACTCCTATGGGGACTTGTTAGTTTTTCCAGATATAATCTTATAATTGGTAGGACTTGAGGCTGGCAAACTTTTTTATTTATTTAAAATAAGAATCATATTTGACAATAAACAAATAATATTAATCATAAGAAAGATATATTTAAAAAGAGGACGCAATGATGAGACGAGAGGAAGAAAAAGAGAAGTATGAGAAGACTAGACTTACAAAAGAAACGACATCCCCGTGAATACTTCCCTTGTTTGACGCAATGAAGTATTTGTTAGATCAAAGTCATCCTGCCGTGACGCTGACGCACACAGCAAAATCCTACCAAGCCACTGCATAAACAATTTTTTCTTTTCTTTTTTGTAAATAGATTTAGCATTTAAGATGTCATTAATATTGAAGAGAATCACACGAGTTTTAAAGGAAAAAGTTAATTATTAATAAATTTTAATGACAAGTTATTATTTTGATAATTAAATCTCTTTGTTTTTTGAGACCTAATTATAATTCTTTCTTCTTAATTTCCAATTAGTATTGCTTTGACTCTTGCCTTTCCACATTTGAGAGGTTGCAAAGACAAATTAGGTCATTTGAAGCAAACCGCGTTCCTACAGCGTGACCGTGGCAGAGAATCATGTTCATTAAAATCTGCAGAAGTTTCTCCTTCCCCATATAGCTTAACCCCTCACCTCCTTCCCCACATTCCCTTCGAACTCAACAATGGCGCTCGATGACCATGCCAATCCCAATTCCCATCCCTTCGACGCCAAAGGCTACGCTCTCACCACCAACATCCTCCTCACCATCACCTTCTTCTTGTTGTTCCTCATCATCCTACTGATTTTCCTTCACTTCTACGCCCGCTGGTACCTCCGCCGTGCCCGCCTCCGTCACCGCCAGCGTCGCCGTTCATATCTTGTCTTCTACGTCGACGACTCCGTCCCCTCTGACGCCCCAACATCCGTCGGTCTTGACCCCTCAGTGATTCAGTCTCTTCCTGTCTTCGTTTATTCCGCCCACTCCGACCCAGTGGAATGCGCTGTGTGCTTGTCTGATTTCGAAGAGAACGAATCGGGTAGGGTTTTGCCCAGATGCAGCCACACTTTTCACGTCGAATGCATCGACATGTGGTTCCAGTCTCACTCGACCTGCCCTCTCTGTAGATCTTTGGTTGAACCTGTTCCGGCCGGTGACCGACCCGGACCGGAGGTGGTGATCAATGTGTGCGAACAGGGTTCGAGTTCAGGATGTCGTCAGGATGGACAAGAAGAGAACCGAAGCGGCCGGACGCTCTGTTCTTCGTCGTCTTCAGTTGGGTTGAGGCGGAAGCCGTCGTCCGTTGGTGTAGCAATTGAGGTGAGCAGAAGCTTCGGGAAAGAGGCGGAGGGGTCGACGACGTCGTTTAGGTCACCGGGGGGACGTTTGCTATCGTTCCAGCGAGTACTGAGCAGAGAGAAGAAGCCGAGTCCTTCGTCCCCATCGTCGGAAAAGAGTGCCGCTGGATGCGGCTCGATGACCGAGATAGAGACGAGTCAGTGAGTTAACTCGGATACGCAGTGTAATTATGGAGTGATTATGTTTAGCGGGGGCCGACTCCATAAGTTGTCTGGTGGGACGTATACAAATTTATGCCGCTCACCAAACCTCATGTAAAATTATGAATTTTGTTGGCAAAAAAAAAAAAAAAATCAGGAATTTTGGAGATGTGGATATGGTATTAGAAAAATAATATTTTTTAGGTTTTAAAATGAAATAAGTTTATTTACTTTTTTTTTTTTTGAAAAGTAGACTATTCTGGGAACATTAAATTGATTGTACTGTTTTCGTTAATGTGTATGAAGTATTAATCCTTCAAGGAGCAACATTCTCTGAAGGAACAAAGTTGGGGTTCAAATTCCACTCTGATAATGTATAAATAGACATTGAAATTGATGAAAGGCACGTGTTTGTGAATTGTAAATTGTGATCATAAAATGGAGGAAGGTGGGAAGGAACGACGCTCCGACCAAATGGGGATATACGGTCCACACCATACGGTCTCAAACTCGCCACGCCGCAAATATTCCACGCGCCACTCCACTTTCCTTTCTTTCAGTAATCACATCATTTACGTCCCATCAACTTTTCAGCTCATCAAATGGACCATATGAGCATTCTCACATTTTAACCTATTTACATGTGAGATCTTCATGTTCCACCTCGCACCGTACATCCTGTCAAATCTGGACATAAAACTATTAACTGCAATACCATGCTGCAGCAGGCCCTCAAGTCTTTGGGTGTTTGGGTGATGAACCAAGCCATGATTTGAAAAAAATCACCCGAACACTATAAAAAAAAAAGTGAAAATCATGATTTTGGCTTAAAATTCATAGTTTTGGTAGAAACAAAAATTTTCTGTTTTTGGGGGGAAAAAGAAAGTGTGAGAGCCTATAAGATATGTTTTTTTTTTTTTTGCGCAGACGGATATATCCTTCCTAATTATTCATCTCTTTCTCATTGTTTTAGACGCAGTATAAGAGAGCCTGAGAGTAGATCTCAATAAAATATGATCTTAACACCCCTCAATTATTTTTTATAAACATATTTAATCTTATATCTTATAAATATATATACACATATTAATTATTTATTAGTTATATTATCTTATGTGTTATTAATTATGTTGATAAAAAATATATTATTAACAATTTTATTCCTTCAAATTAAAATATATCATAAAATCTATTTTATCATATTAACTTATGTTTTTTTAGTAATTTGTATATACAAAAAGTGCTTCTAATAACAACTATTCAAACACTTTCACTTTTCAGAATCACTTCTTCATAAAATCTATTCTTCCCAGAATCTATTTTTCAGAAGCTATTTTTCAAACCATGATTTAGTTTTATCTAAACACCCCTTTTAACGACATGGCCTTACTTATATTTCATTTCTTTTTTGTATAAAAGACTTCATATTTGATATATTCTAAACATGATTTTCTTTATTCCTAAAGGTTGAACACTTAGGGTCTGTTTGGGTAGCACCCCAAATCATGGTTTGGGGACCCAAACCATGGTTTGGGAAAAATGCTACCCAAACAGCCTCCAATATTTTGAAACCATGGTTTTAACCTCTAAAACCTTGGTTCTGTGGAAAGCAAAATTATCTTGCTTCTGGTGCTGAAGCTTTCGCTGTTGGGTTGTCAGAAATTATTTGGACAAAAAATGCCCCTTGACTCGCTTGCGTTGTTGGCGTGGAGAAATGGTTTACGGTCATTTGGTCCTGACGCAGCAAGAGAGTGAGCATGAAAGAATCATAAAGCGGAAAAGATAATTACTATAATATAATTACTATAATAAAGTAATAAATTGTGTTTAATGTGTGCTTATTTATTTTGTCAAAAAATATCATGATATTTCATATTTATAATCTTTAAAATAAAATAATATTTTTCTGTTGGTAAAAAATATTTATTTTTTCCAGAAACATTTTTAATCTTATATTTTATAAATATATATACACATGTTAATTATTTATTAATTATGTTGGTAAAAAAATATATTATTAACAATTTTGTTCCTTCAAATTAAAATATATTATAAAATCTATATTTTATGTAATTATCATATTAACTTATACCCTTTTTAGTAATTTACACATATAAAAAGTACTTCTGGTAATAACTATCCAAACACTCTCACTTATCAGAATCACTTTTTCACAAAATCTATTCTTCACAAAATCTATTCTCCTCAGAATCTATTCTCCAGAAGCTATTCTCCAAACCATGGTTTGGTTTTATCCAAACACTCCCTTAGTTCTTTTTTTTTTTTTACTTGAACAGTATTGAATCACTCTTCAACCCAATTACCATTTATAAGCATGCTTTGGTGTTGATAATGTAAACATATACCTCTTCTAAAAATGACAGGGGGAAACAAGTTTCTGGCCGAATCAAGCTAGCGAGCAAGCATTATCATTTCATTCAAAAGAATACATATGGGGTTACAACTTACAAGATCGTATCAGTACATAGATATATTAATATTCACAGGGATATAGCAATACAAATTGCAGAACGAGAGCTGTTAGTATTTAGTGAAACCCTGGACTGCAATGATTTCATACGCTAATCTACTAAATGACATCCAGTGGATGTCTTGAATGAAAGTCAATGTTGGCCGTGGGGATAAAACTGCAGGTTTAGAGTGTGTCACCCTGCAGAATGTAAGTTAATTGGCTCCACATATTGAGACCTTCGTCTCCTCTTCCCTTCTGGAGTGCACCTTATGGCACTTGCCTTCGCAAGCTTCACAGAGAACTTACAATTTGATGATGGAGGCGACAACCCCCTCTTAGATGAATTGGTGTTGGGAGAATTCAGCCTTGCAGTTTTGTTCCTGTTCCCTTTCGTCAATGCCTTTTTGGTTGGAGACTTTGCTCGCTTTTTTGTCAAACGCAGCTGTGCGTTATCACGTTTCTTCTCATGATTTAGGAGCCTAACATGAAACGGATTCACGCCTGTGTAACACACAGATTCGCCATCATTTCCACTTCTTTCTAAATGCACGTCTCCATTGTTTACCTGAAATTTCATAAAGTTCGAAAAATTCGGATTGGCTTCAATTTAGACAACTCTCAAGGCATCCAACATCACAAAATAGGTAATAGTCAAAGCACAGTAAGCACTGTTGTCAGGGCAAAAAACATACCAGTTGAAGTAAAGCAGAAAAACTTCGAGCCACATCATACTTCTCTTGCCCCTTGACCACATCAGAAAAGGACAAGATACTGTTTTCTTGCTCTTCAAATGAAAGTTTGTCCAGGATATTCTCCCCATAGTCATGGATATCAAATGGCGGGTGTGATTCCTGTCAGGCAAATTAATTCAAATCAACTTGAAGCACCACAAACTTTGAAGAGGGATGTATGATGTCAAACTATTGACCACCATCAATCCCTCCCACCGCCGCCCCGAGGGCATCAAGGAGGATTATTCACCTGTTCTTCCAAGTTGTGCTCAATTCTTTGTTTCCATGTAGAAACCCGAGCTGCCATTTCAGTTTGCTTCTCGGTCTTAGCTATGCTAGCCAGGAGAGAATCCTGCGTGATGCACTACGGGTTATAGGTTCATCTAAGCAAAAATATTGACCGTTTCAGGAAAACAAGCAACTCAGACTTGACCAGACAGTTTCTCTCAAGCCCTTGCATTATTTCACACAAGTTCTTCAACAGAGCCACAAACAGATAGGATGCAACTTTTTTTGGGGAAGAAAAACTCAATACTGAGTGAAAAATAACTGGCACTCTTACCAAGTGAGAGCGACAGAGATCTTCCAGACTTGACTGAGAATTTGGATATTCATTACCTATAGCCTCATCAACGTCAACATAAGCATCGCCATTGTCATACTGTAAAAAATCAAGTAGATAAGCTTATTCAGAAATTTCCATTTGGTCTGGAGCATGTGACAATAAAATTACTGGTCTCCAAACCTCTTTACTGCAAGCAGGCATATCTTCATCCATATTGACATTCTCTGGAACTTCTAGATCAGGGTTCTCACTATCATATAAGTTGTCATCATTGCAATTTTCAGGGTTCGGAAATGTGCCATTAATTTCATCCCCACCATTAACAAGTGATTGCCTTAGCTGTAATTCATTCATCATATATTATAGGCTGTCATAAGATGAAAAAAGATAAACAGAGAATGCACGAGAAAGTACCTTTTCATACAATGGAGGTGATGAGCTATCCTTCTGTTTGTTGGCATAGCGTCGGCTTTCCCATATATTCATGAGCTCTGGATTGATAGGACCATGCAATTTTGCAGGTGGAAATAAGGAACTTATAGATACACGTCTGTTTAAATTGACTCCTTTGCTCTTAAAAGCTTTCACTGCGTAAAGGTAATAGTAATGAAGGTGTAATCACGTAATAAGGGTAAGGTAAACTAATAAAGGGATAAACGAGGAGAAGAAACCTTTTCTAAAGGGCTTCACTCTCAGATTGCCTGGCTCATGAGGATTTAAAGGTTTCCATGGATCATCTTCATCATCGCTTGAACTGTTTGAGGGATATGCATCACATCCATCATCCACATGAAGTCCATTGTTGCAGTTATCAAAACCAGCAGAAGCAGGAGAATTTATTGGAATGTTATCAGCATCAAATCTGCAATTATGTTGAGGAGTAAAGCTGGGATTAGCATGCTGACTCTTTGCAGCAGAATTTTTGGGTGCACTTCCAGTAGAACGTCCTCTGGGAGAATGAAAGCTTTTACGATTTGAGCTCCCTCTGTAGGCACCATTTTGCTCTGTCCCTACTTTGTTTCCCCTCAGATACTCATTAAGTGCAACAGCATCAGAAGTGTCCAAAAGAATAAAATCATGATACAAGTTTGTGGTGGCCAACTGCAAACACGCATCATATCATCAGTGAACAAAATGAAGTATAGCAATGCTTCCTTTTGTAAACAACTGGAAGCAATCATGGTACCAGATAAGACTCCAATTCCCCACCACGACCGGTAGCATCCAAGCAGTCACCCTCAAGAACAACGAGATTTGCAGGACGCTTTACAAAGTGATTCAAATTGACTTCTTTTCCTGGTGTACTATCCAAGGAAATATTTTCTTCCACTGTAATACAACAATAATTTACAGATGATATAGTAAGACATAGCAACTTCAATATAGAATATAACTGTTTTGATGCTATTGATGCGGGATGTTAAAGATATAGACATCAAAGAATACAGAAAAAGAGATGACAAGAGAGAAGAAGCAGCTTGAATTGTGGACACCCTCAATAATTCTTTGTTCTCAAGAAATTATGAAACCCAAAAGCTATTCAAATCATATACCAGGAATCCCATGTTCAGTTGCAATATCATTTTGTCTACCTCTTGGTTAATGCTACAAATCTGACATAGCAAAAAATTCATCATAAAAATAACAATCCCTTTCTGCCATGTTCACGTTTGATAATTTCTCAATATTCTACATTAAAAAGGTCACCTGGGATGTCATCTAAACACCAAAATTGATCATTTTCTTCATCGCCAACGGCTGGGGCACCACTTTCTTCAGGCTGGACTGATGGCCCTGGCCCATCTAATTGTTCCTGCAATCTGCCCAAAAAGTACATTTGTCAGATCAGATAGTATACATTTTGCACAAAATAAAACATAGTACAGTCAAGCCAATAGGTATAGTGATAGGGATGCAGGATTGGAGGCAATTACTAAGAGGCCTCAGGTTCAAATCTTTATTCAAATATGCACACACAAAAATAAAAAAAAAGACAGCTCGGCCATATAGAAGGGCATAGATATTATCTTATGTCATTTAAAATCTGTTCATGGTTCAATCAAAAGGATATTTTTATTATATCTAAATTAACCAACTGAATACATAACCCAATTTAAACTCAAAATCTCTTTTCCACTGTTATTTCAGCAAAAAATAACTCCACCAAAGGATTTGTTACTGAATAATCAAATGCTTGTTGGCGTTTCAGTAAACTCTTTCACTTTCACTCGTCCGCTTAGTTTTTAATATCCAGAATCCACTTTTCATAGAAGTTTGAAGGAGTCAAGTTCACTTTGCCCATGATTTCAACAAAAGCATCAACTATATGATGTCTAAGCACCACGGATTGACAGAAGAATAGAACGGGACAGAAAAGGAAGGCTAATACAAAATGGTGCTTCTAGAATTTAAATAAGGTCGTAAATTTCCAAGATTGAAGCAATAATTTTCTTTTCTTTTGGCCTTCAGTTAGGGGTATAGGTAAAGCTGAAGTTTAATTAAGAAGCAGGAGCAAACCCGACACTTTAATTAAAAAAAATCAAACCTTTTCTGAGAAAGAAACTCTAAAGCACGTAATACCAATGTGTAAAGATATTCCACCTTCCGACTGTACACCTGTATAGAACCCTGAAGCAGCAGAGCAGCTACAATTACCGAGAAACAACCAATTCAGATGAGCATATGCAAGAAAAGGAGGGAAACAAAATTTGAACGAGATAGGCCAAACCTTCAGCAAAATTTACGGAAATGTGACCTTCCTCTTCTACCCCGGTGATCTCACCGGAGCAAATTTTCAGTAAATACTCCTCAAGTTTCTTGGCGAGGTTGACTTCCCAATTAGATTCAAGGTCACGCTCTGCGTGAACCGAGTGGAACCCACCACCACTACTTCCCGGTTCCAACGTTTCCTTGTTCATATCCTCCTGAATGAAAACCTAGGGTTTCAAATTTCCGGTGAGAAATTGTAGGCACTGATAAAAGTAAAGTCGGGGTTTCGAGTTTCCCAGAAATGGGAAGTGGGTATTGTGTGTTCACAAATCTGAAGCTGCTGTTATCCACGGTGCTCTGCAGCAAGGCAGGAGGAGGGCACGAGAGAGAGGGGGAGAGAGAGGATTCAAAAAGTGCCCATCACCATTTTCCCGCTTGTTTTGATAATATTCAGAAATCAACGAGTCTATTATGAGTTAGGCCGAACACAAGGTCATGGTTTGGGCCTTCTTCTTAATTGGGCCATTTGTTCCCAAGAGCCATTGGGCTTGACCCAAAAGTCTACATTTGTTTTCTTTCGGCCATGAAAAATGAGTAACGCTTCTTATTATTATTGGGAATGTGAGGGATTTGTTATGAATTTTATTATATATCGTAATATTAATGTTGATGGTTACATCAAGCATGGATAATAACCAAGGATGAAAATTCATTTGGGTTCCATAAATTTATATAATTTTTATTTTAAATATTAAAACAATATCGATATAAAATATTAACTTTATATCAAATCACACTATTATAACACTATTCATATAATTCATCAGTAGTTTGAATCATCATGGACCATATGTAGGGTATGTGTGGATTAGCGTTAGGCAAAACTGACTTCTAACTCAATTGAATTTTGTAACTGAAGTTAGAGTAAAAGTCAGTTAGTGTAATGCAATTTATGTTTGGATAGATGCTTTTAAAAAGTCAGTTAAAAAAGTTAAAAGTTATTTGGATGATTAATAGAAAAGTTAGTTTAATTGTAAAATGACTGAAAATGATATGGAGTAGTGTTTGAAATTTTATATTTTTAATGTGATAATAATTAAAAGAAACACGTAAAATTATTATGATAAAATATAAATAGTTTGTTTGTAAAATTATAAAATAAAAATATTTGTTACGGAGAAAAATTTGAAAATATATTGTAGATAATTAATTAAATATACATAATGAACAAACATGAATATAAATTAAAATTTATTTGGTCTCTAATTAAAGTAAATAGAATCACATAACTAATTAGATCGTAAGCTTTGCACAATTTTTCCATAAGTCAGTTAGAAAAGTTGATCCAGATTGCGTTGGATAAGTCAGTTAGAAAAGTTACTTATTTTCATAAGTCAGTTAGAAACGAAGCTCAATACAAACAATCTTCTGAGCTGCAATAAGCTATAAACTTCAATTTTACGCTTTCCTGTGTGCTTTTGGCATTCCATACGGCAATCCAAACGAGTCCGTAATCTTTTTTCAATATTTGTCATACATTTATTAACTTCTATGAAACTTCCTTTTCTTTTTCTTTTTTATGTTTTTCTTCCTAATTTAGAAAGCTTAAATGTTGGGAAAATGGGCACAATTTTTTTAAATTCTGAAAATATCATCTACTTAATTTTCCCCAAAAAGACCCAAAAAAAAAAAAGAAAAGGCTGCGAATGGTGTAAATCAGTTCGACGTCTCCCTCTTATGCTGATGAGTTTTCATAAGAAAGGGATGACCACTATGTTGAATAGGAACAAACAGGAATGGGATTACTAAATACTCCTCCGGTCCTTATTATAAGACCCAATTTGACTTTTTATTTGGTCCTAATTATAAGACCCAATCCATTTTCTCTCTTATATTTATGTATTTTTTTCCAAGATAATCCTTCTAATAATGATAGTTTTAGCCAATATACTTAATTAGCAAGGATATTTTAGGAATAACAACACTTATTTATTATAAATAACCAACTTAACTTACTTCCTTAATCTCCTCAAATAAGTCAATTGGGTCTTATAATTAGGACCGGAGGAGTATTACTACCTCCGGTCCTTATTATAAGACCTCGTTTGACTTTTTGTTTGGTCCTAATTATAAGACCTCAATCCATTTTGTCTCTCATATTTATGCATTTTTTTCCAAAATAATCCTTCTAATAATGATAGTTCTAGCCAATACACTTAATTAGCAAGGATATTTTAGGAATGACAACATTTATTTATTACAAATAACTAACTTAACTTACTTTCTTAATCTCCTCAAATAAGTTAACTGGGTCTTATAATTAGGACCGGAGGTAGTAAGTAGTAACTCATAATAATTTGTAGGTCACCAAAATAATTCCTTTTGATGAAATAATCAGTTACAAAAAAAAAATCCAACAAAATAATGAACTCAAGAATTTAACCAAGGAGCTAGTATGCACCACTAGTCAAATTGGATATCACAGCATAACAGATGGCTCCGACGCCTACTTAGCCTCTAGACACATATATGAATAAAAAGTTGAATATATATTAATTATATGCTTTGAAGATCCCGGCGAAAAGCGATCAGATCAATCAATTTGGTACGGCCATTGGGCCAACGGAGTAGGGAATCCCGGAGGCGGAGATCCAGGAATCGTCATCAGTGGTAGTTGCATTTCGGAATTCATAGAACTTGCGAGGGTAGAAATTTGCGGCTTGAGCGGCAGTGATCACCTTCACGCCGGGCCACTTCACTCTGTGAGAGGTATCGGCGCCAGGACCTTTGTTGTTGTACTCATTGAAGATGCTGGTCAAGTGATAGATGCTACCCATCCACGACATGTAACCTTCGGGAGCGAAGATTCCGTCGATCAGAGAATCCATGATGATCACCTTGGCGTATGCTCTCCATGGACGTCCGAGGTATGCCGGTTTCTTTGCCGGGTCGGAGAGGTAGAGTGGGTCGGCGGTGAAGTGGCAGCTCTGGAACACCATCGCGCTGGGACTGTTGATCACGTTGCGGCCACTGGCGGAGACGATGCAGTTCTGGTTGTTTAAAGGTGGCCTGACGACCAATGTGCAATTCTGGAAGACCATGTCGGCGTCACCGAAGATGAAGTCAATTGTACCGGAGATGACACAGTCGCGGTAGAACTGGCGGTGGGACTGAGCGTAGAGGGTGTCTTGGTACCCATCCATGTGGCAGTTGTAGAAGACGGCTTTATCAGCGGTTACTCGGAGAGCCACGGCCTGGTGCTTAATTGCTCCGGCTGTGTTCTCGAACCCTACGTGCATGGCCGTGAAGTAAGGAGCATTCACGCCTGCAAATTCACAAGTCATCAGTTTTAGATCATTCTAAGCAAGAGTAATTTTATTGGATGACTCGAATCTTGTGGATCAGGAAATTATTAATACAACATACCGAATGTTGCGGTGTTGTAAGTTTGGACGCCGTCAGCAAAGTTGAGACTGCCGGTGAATCTGGTGACGGTGGGACCATCTCCGACGATTGTGATATGACTGGATTGCTTGGGTATGTTCACAGTCTCCTTATATACTCCGGCCTTCACGTAAATCACATAGGGTTTCATGTTATTCTTGGGAACAGTTTTGAGAGCGTCGGTGAGTGTTTTGAACTGCCCGGATCCATCTTGAGCCACAACAGCATTGGGCTTAACGTTGGCGGCACCGGCTGCGGCTGCGGCGAGGAGGTGACGGTGTTGGTTATCACTTACCCAAGACGGCAAGCTCTCGAGAAGCTTCCGACTGGAGGTGTTGTTATTATCACCATGAGCTTGACCGGAGGTGTTGTTATCACCATGGGCTTGATCGGAGATGATGCTATCAGCATGAGCTTGCAGGCTGCCGGCGAGGCCAGCGAAGTCGAAGGTTTGGGCGACGTCAGATAGGCCAGAGATAATATCCAAAGCGTTCATGCTGAGCTCCAGGGAAGTGTTCAACACCCTGGCCATGGTCTCGGCGGCGTGTGTGGTGGTGTTCTCGAAGCCGTCCAAACAGGTCCGTTGGTGGGAGATAGTGCCTCCGAGCCACACCTTAACGTCATAGGCGTATTCACCGAGCTTGTTTATATCGAACTGATCCACGCTATTGATCGAGTTTTTAATGTCGTCAATGGCGTAGTCTAACACCTCGTGGCAGATCTCCATAGCCTGTAGAATTTAAAACACATAAACACACACACACACACATTGATGTTCTAGGATTATTCATTAGTTATATATGTTAAATTACCCAGGAAATATACAATATAGTACCTGTCTGGTCATGTTGTCCTTGGCAAGCTCGTCGAACAGGGTAGAGTTATCAATGAACTTCTTGAACTCCTTGCCGGCGGCGTGGAAGGCCGCTTTGACGAGTTCTTTAACGTCGGTGGTGCCATTGTTCGCTTTTGAGAGGCTGTGCTTGCAGGTTTCCTTGTATTCGGCTGAGCTGCAAAGCACGTCCACGTCCTTTTGAGTCGCAGAAATCTGTTTCTTCTCACCATGATCCTCCCCGGACCCAACCGCATCGTAGGCTGCTTCGCCGGCACCAGATAGACCGACGCCCACGGCGGCCACCATGGCCACCAGGAGGATCCCTGAGACTGAAATAACAGCGATTTTCTTCTTCCTTTCATGATCACCGTTAGCCATATTTATTTTTGCTTATTCTACTATAAAGATGTAGTTTTTTTTTTTTAATTATTATTCGATATGGAAGAGATATACCAACAATAAGAGTAGAAGTTACAATATTATTGTTGGCACTCTCTTTCTGAGCAGCTTGTGAAAGGCCAAAGGTGGTCGTTATTTGTCTGCTGTAGGATCTCGCATTCTGGGGTGATTTATATAAACGCAACGCTTCTCTGAACCTCAGATTTGTTTGTGCAACGAAAGACGAGGAAGGCCTCTTGTGAAACAAGAGTTTCCTCATAATCTGGGAACCTGGTATGTTATATCTAAAGTTAGCACGCAAATAAAACGTTGACTGCACATATATATGGTCATTGACTAATTTTGATCTGTTTGAATGGTTATTCGGGAGATTATATGGTTGTAATAAAATTGAGGGTGACAATTAAATGCACACTTTGAAAAGGTTTTCTATATGTAATTTCTGCGTCCATGTGAAGGCATTTTGCATGTATAATCAGCATATTGAGATGCTAAATTTAGTGATTTACGATCCGTCATCTTTGCGATCATACACTAAAAGCAAATAGAAAACACCAATGAAAAACGACACGTGACGTGAGGAGTGCTATTAAATTTATATTCGCGTGTGTGTCATATAAAAAAATATTGTTGTAATATTATATATTACTTGCTTCGAATTCTTGGTAAAGCATGAACCCAAAATGCTATAACATTTGGAGGGGAAAAATTAAGAACTAACTAACTACTATAAGTGCCAACATTTTTTCCAATATATAGTGTCTTCTTAGGGATTCAATCATTTCTCTATGTATATACACAACCTCAAGCACAGGTGAAAAGAAGAAAAAGACGAGGCATGATGGGCCCCACTGGATATATGAAATTCACTGAAAAAAAACCTTACTTCTTTCTGTCAATATAATTAACCTGTACGGTTTTAAACGTGGAGAAAATCTCCCCCGTTTTTAATACGCACAGGAAGAAATTTGAATGTAGTAAGACTTAATTATTATAACAAATTAATAATGATGACTTACATTGTTGATTACCATTTTGGATATATCTATATATAATTAATTAATGATGTTCTAGCATTGTTATGTCAACTAATACATTTTTGCATCCATCGTATTTGAACAGTCAAGTAAGTGACCAGAATTAGAATGATACTCATATCCAGGTGGAAATCAACTGTTACTCGATAGGTATTATTTAATTATATATTCAATACTCAGCTTTCCATCTTAATTAAATGGCGAATATGGAAATAGAACAGAACCGCTAACTAAATGTTTGAGGAACCTAGTTAAATGCCAACTGTGTTTTAGGCCTCTTGATTTTGAATAATCATATGTGAACAGTCAAGTAAATGTCTAGAATCAGATTGATACTTACCACTACCCCCCCCCCAAAAAAGAAAAAAGAAAAAACAACAGTCTATGTCGGGGGATGGGAGAACTAGCTAGTCATGGCATGGCTCATAAGTCACATAAACAACTTTTATCCAGGTGAAAATCAACAGTTAGTCGCCACAGGTTATTCACTTATATATTTAATATTGGATAAACTAGCTTTCCGTCTTAATTAAATGGAGAATATGGAAATAAAACAGAAGCATAAGCAACGAATCTCCAACGCTGTGCCTTGCCGCCAAATGTATTGGGTACTTGCCAACCCAGCCAAAGTTAGTCAGCCTGGTCTTCATTACTGAAGATCAAAGCTTATATATATACATCCAATCAAGTTCGCCCACGTGTGCCTCTCAGATCAATTAATGAAATGAAGTTCAGATCAATCTTCGTACAATACTGGTTCCCTCTGTATTAACCATAAAAATGCTCTTTCTAGAGGAAGAACCTTAATTATATATTATACGTGTATATATATAGATGTGCGTACATACATATATATATTTTGGGATCCAGGGTATATATAATAAAAAAGCCTAAGAAAGAATCAATGAAAGCAAACCACGTCTTATTCTATACTACTGGTGGGTCCGAGGACAGGCGAAGAGCCACTTCCCGGCTTCACTATAAATAATAGCTAGCGCAGGTTTTTGCAGAACCAAACCAGAAACAAAAAACCAGGTTAATCGTGGTGGCTTGAGATTACTGCCGGGAACATTATGGAATCATCAGATCATCTTGTGAAGATTGGAAGAGAAGGGTTTGATCTGATAGATGCATGTAACAACAACAAGAGACGCTTGGTCCTTCGTGAAAACCTTAATTACTTCACCAAGAATAAGGAAGAGGCTCCTGTAGTGACCATGGATCACAGACAAGCAGCTCTGAAATACCAAGGAGTTACCGTTGAGCAGCGTTATTACTATATGCCTGAGCCAATGCCTGAGCCAAAGCCTAAGCCAAGAGGCCGTTGGAGCGTCTTCTTCCAGGCCTTCAAATTCTGATCCAACCATGTCTTGTTGTAATCGCCCTAAGTAATCACCTCCGCATGCTTCTTGGTGTCGCTTCGTTTCGCTGTTACAGTAAACAGCATATAGTGTCGTTATAGTTGTATACGGTTAACAGCACCGTTAACTACTTTGTGTTAATTAGAGTCTTTGCATGTTATAATGTTTTACTGGTCTAAATACTACTGAGTTATGTACGAATAAGTGAGTAAATCAGTACTCCTTTTAAACGTAAGTGTTATTTGTGAGTTCTATATTCTCTTTCTCATCCTACGTTACATATTTCATAAGCCTGTCTCTAATATTATCGTTCATGCACATGTAAAAATGATCTTAATTAAAAGTAAGTTCGGTTGTTGAAATTGTTTTGTCTCCATTTTTTTTACTAAGCACAGTTATCTTTTTATTGAAAACACTGTTCGGTGGTACCAAAAGTAGGCATTTCTGTCAATAAAAAAATATTTCTTGGTCATTGGTTTTACTTTTTCCTTCTCTTTTTCAAATCAGAATCACAGGTCAGAGATAATCAAGCATTGAATATTGTAGCCGCCGCAGCATGGACAAAGACAATCGCTTCAGACAATAATGGCTTCAAAATTTATTGCAACCGGAGCAAATATTATTATGGCCAGCTCATATACGACGTCGTTGTGTGGGCGGGTGTGTCTGAATATGTAGATATCCTCGCGGCGAAAATGATGGAAAATAGGTTAATCGTTAGTTGTTTTTGTGATGGGTTGTATGATCGATGTTAAATTGTTCAGCTCACTGCGCCCATGCTAGGTTTTTAATCAAGTAAGTAAAGAAAAGCAAAGAAAAACATAAATATCCCAGTGTTTTTAAACTAAAACCCATGTATTTAATGCTTAAAATTTTATTTGGGCTAAGACGTGGTAGTATCTTCTTGTCGTGGAGCCTAATTAAATTCTGATTCATGGATGTGAGAATAGCTTTAATGATTTGATTTTTAAAATTCTGAAAAGTTAAAAATATAAACTGTACATGACACGAAATTTAATGGGATCAATTAGTGCGATTCGAATAAAAACATTAAGTAATAAACAGTGATGCATGGACGATACATGCAGCAAAATACATGTGCTCCTAATTAATTATATGCTTTTCCCTCCATTTCATGTTAGTGCAAACTCTAGGCAAATTTTAAATATATTCATAATATTCATCTCGAATCAAGGATGCTGCTCTTGTGTGTATTTTTTTTTCTTTGCCGACGCTCTTTTTATGTGTATTGAAGAATAGAAGTTCCACATCTAGAATAGTGATAATGAAAATAAAGAGAGTATTTAAGTTTGTAGGAATCTTAATCAGCTAAGATATAACTTGAATTATTTTGATATAATGAACAAGTTGAAGCACAATATTCATGTACATACATATATATATTTATATATATTAACCCGTAGGATATCTAAGTATAGGCGAACTTGAATTGAGGTAAAAAGCTCCTGGGACTCAATTCACCTAAACTTTTTTGTATATAAAAAAAAGCCTTACATTAAATAAAATTAGGCTTAATTAATAAATAGGACATAATAAATTGTAAGAATATATAAACTTTAAAGTACTTAAGATTTTGCGTGAAGATTGATATCAAAAAAAAAAAAAAGATTTTGCGTGAAGATGTGGTCCCCTTCTCGTTGATTAAAATTCGTTTTTCAAGCGCATCTCTACTCGTCTAATTAATTAAAACTTTACAAATGCACTAGAACATAATGAATATAGATTCCATATTCAATTCCTCGATAGATCAAACTTTATTTTTTTTTCCTTGCACAACCAAAAAAAATAGCCGCCTAGCGCCATATCCCTAACAATAGAGAAAAGAGAGGGGCGTATAATCTCATATCGAAGATTCACATTTCATGATCTAATATTTGAATATATTTTTTTATCTTGATTATTACTTTTGCTTGGCTATATATTTTGATCATTCTCTGGTGATAAGTATTTTTTTCCCAATAATAAGATATTTTCCATGCCATCGTGGACGGAGCGATAACACACCCACTATAAAAGTTAGTTAATTATATATAGGTCTCATATTTAAGCAGATGTGTTTAAACAAGCTAATACACACACACACACACACATATCAAATTGCTGGGTGAGCCTTTAATTGGGTGTGAGAGCATTTTGCATTATGATATGCATATCTCTGACCCTGGCGTATTTATTCCAATCAAAAACATTATTATCTTTTTTTTCCATACGATTTGCTCCCCTCTTTTATCTTTTTCTTTATATCAAAGAACAATACATACATCTATATAATATAGAATTTAAGGAGTAGGAATATTTTAGCCCTACGTGGATGAAATATGTGAAGTTAATTAAAGACTCGGTCCGTCCCATGCCTGGTGCAAAATTTTATATCAATTGCACTTTTAAATATTGTGTGCGTCTGTGTGTGTTTTTATATAAATTCTATGTTCTATATAAAATTGGAGTTGAACTAGTTAAGCTGGACTCTCTTCCGTGAGTTACTGTGTCCACTCTCTATTTGTCTCTTGCAAAATTTTTGGTGTTATATTTATCCAGAGATAAAAAAGAGTTTCAAAAA